CATAATATCCATCACTCTCGAGGTCGAGGGTCCCTGTATCATCTAACGAACACTCGTCAACAAGAAAGTGTACAAATATCATCACAGCACGTTACAACATCACAACATAAACTATACGCGGTCATCGCTGGTACTCAAGATCAAGTGGGCTGGGCTGATACTCGAGATGGCTAGCAGACGTAGGCGACTTGCTGGTCCCGCTAGAGCTCGGCCGCACTCGCCCACCCTCATGCTCCTGCTCCACAGTATTCGTGAGCTCCACGCCGTCCACGGTGTCAACGTCAAAGTGAATGGTCTTCTCCACGTTGATTGAGATCTTCGTGGTCGTCGGATCGCCGTTGGATCGACTTTGTCCCGTGGGGAAGCGGGTCACGACGGAGCGCGTGCGGCGCCCGGTGAGTGAGCTGGGGAAGCGTACGGGGAGTTGATGCGAACTGCCGTCGGAGCGAGTGGCGCGCTCGCGGATGGAGATGCGTGTGTTGAGCGTGATAAGTAGTGAAACGCCATACACTGGGGCGAGGTGAGTAAGATCGGAGTTGGAAGATGGGGAGGAGAGAACGTACATTTGGCGATGGAGAAGTGAATGCCGAAGAAGACTAGGTTGGTCTGCATAGCTAGCCAGCATATCAACGTAGCGATTGTCACGATGCTGGTCAAAGCGCCCTGCAAAATACAGAATCAGCGTTATTGAGCATGTATGAGGGACGGCGAGTTCTTACGTTGTTGAAAGTATACAAAAGTAAGATGTCGATAATGTGATCCATGCCCTCAAAGCCTGTTCGACTTTGCTGGAGGTAGTAGCACATAGCAGCGGCAATCAAAACGTCTAGCGCTGAAGAAAGCGACAGCCCAAGCGTGAACACCCACTGCGAACGAACGTCAGCTTCGATGTACGCACGATTCCCGATGGAAGCGTAGCGTGTAGACGTACTCCAACTTTCTCCACGAAGCCGCTATAGCTCTTCAATGTGCCCATCTCGTACGTAGATACGATAGCCGCGACTGAAAGGCACAGTCAGCATCCGATAAGCCCGCTCAAACGCAGCAGGGACTTACTGAGGCGGCCGAGTGCAAGTGCAACGATAGGCCCGGTACACCACCAGTTGGACTTGCTCACTGGGAGATATCAGTATAAGGTGTTTGGCGAGCATGGGTGGACGTACGCTTGTATACTCGATATGAGAAGAACATATGCACGACGAAAGTGATCAACGCCGTGAACGCGACTGTAAGCGCAATCTCCCTAATAAAGCGATGAGAAGAGAGTAAACAGCGGAAAGGAGAGACACCCACGGGCTGATGTGATCTGTCTGTCCAAAATCCCCATATCCAAGCGCAAAGTACTTCCATATCGCGGCGGAGATGAGAGCGGAGTGTGTGGCGTCCATGACCCATACCAGTAGGACCTGCCGTTCACTGTGAGCGTCATACCCGGTAAGATGCACAGGTTACACATACAAGTAGCTTCATGCTGTGCTTATCCTTACTGTACACACGGAAGTAAAAGAACACTTGCGTGGCCACTACACCAGAAAGGCTTAGCGCATGTCAGTACATGCATTCACGAAAGTCGACTAGTATTGGGCGTACGCCATGGAGATCAGCGCTCCGAGGAGGATGGCGCCCAGATTCGTCTTGACGTCTGCAGTAGGATGAACAGACATTGCAGGCAACAGAGAGGAATACAGGGACAATGGGCGGTCCAGGTCCGCGCGCGAGAGGGCGTACAAGCGTTATATGTGCGCCACCGAGGCCCGCGTACACATGGACCTGTTGCTTCCGTCCAACGGCAGCGAGGGGCGCGCTGTGTTCCGTCAATTTCTATTTCCTTAGATGGTTACAAGCACTTACCACTGGGGCCCGCAAGCCAATCAGCAATGTTCGAACGAAGCTTTTAGTCGGAGTCCTTGTTGCGCTCTGTGTGCGAAGAGAGGTACGCTACCACGGTGGAGGCTGTTGAAGATAGCTTTCTGGCGGATGCGATATAAGTATATCTCGATATCCAATGACAAGTACTGTGAGGCTCTGTAGTACGAGTGAGTACTTCCTCACAAGTACAGCATCCCCCATAGCGGGGAAACCTTAAACGAGCACGTATGGATGATCGACCGCAGGCGGCGCAAAGTAGGATATGTAGTCAGCCACAGCGCAAGCCAAAACACAGATGCCGCACAAGCACCGTACCGGTGATCGGACAGGTAGAATGCAAGGAATGTTTATGCCGTCAACATTGCTCGTATGCGGCAGCTGGCCCGCAAGGATTGAGGCAATTGAATAGGCGCCCGGTCGAGGAGGGACAGACCCGCCCCCACAAGCTGCAACGCCTATGTGCCCTACGCAAGCGCTCCACCATCCGACCCTCTGTAGGCTCAACCCAGTACCGGTCGCTACAGTGTGGCGCATCAGCGATCTGTCAAGCTCAGGCGCCGAACGCTCGATCTCATAGTGCTGGAGAGCACGCCGCGGCAACTGGAAGACTTGGCGTTGTGCAGGTACGCGGCGGAGTGGACGAGGTTCCGAGCTGGCACGACGCGCACGGCGCGGGGTGTGTCTTCCGCTCGTTACTGGATACTGCATAGCAAAATGGAGTGAAGATTGAGCGCGAGCCATTTCTACGCCACCGTTCGAATTCTGGTGGTGGTGGTCGGGGTCGTCAACGGCAGCGGAGCGATAGACGCGCGCGTCGGCGACCATGACCGCGTCGGATCTGCGGACCGTTCTTCGTCCACATTGCTTATTTCAGCAGGCGCTATGAGTAGGCGCTATGACTGAAAGGGTACAGCGCAGAGCGATATGGTACGTATCGCCGAGGTTAAGCGCTAAGCTCTACTGAGAACAAGAGACATGCATTAAGAAGTTATACACATACAAGCGTAATACAGCGAGCGCAAACAGACATCCACACAGATCTAATATAGTAGTCACAAGCCAAGATAGAAGTAAACAATGAGACGGGACACCCAGCGTCCGTGACATTTATGTCTTCTTCTTTTTCGTCGGACGCTTGGACGTCGTTGCAGACGGCGTAACGCTCGCAGGCGTCGAAGCGCGGCTCTCCGCCTTGGACTCATCGAGCCCCCGCTTCTTCCCCCTAGCCACCGAGCCGCCTGCCGCAGCGGTGCCGTTCTTCTTCGCACCAGCGCCGGACTCCTCCTGCTCCTTTTCAATCATACCCAGCAACGTGTTACACCTCCGCTGCAGCTCCTGCGGACTCCGGCTTTTGAAGAACCAGTCGAAGCGGAAGACGGGGAACTCGGTGATGTCTTTCTTGATCCGGTCGTAGACGTCCTCGAGGCCCATTCCATAGTGATGCAACCGGCAGAGCAAGTACCGGTCTTCCTCCTCGCTGTATACCTTGCCCTTGGTCGTCGGGTAGTTCAGCTCGAGCTCTTGCATGGGGTAGCGCACGCTGCCGATCTTGCGCGAGAGCAGGTTCTCGAGGTTGGAGCGCTTGTTGCGCTTAGCCTCGCCCTCGTTGATACGTTGGGCGATCCGTGGGTGGTCGGATAGGGTCTTCCATTTTTTCTTGAAGACGGGGTAGTACGCTTTCACTTCCTCCGGCGTTTTGTCCTGGATCTCCGCGGCGATGACGTTGTAGTCGTCGGTCCTATAGAATCCGTTAGTACGAGGGATAGGATGAGAAGAGAGTGGTAACGTACCATCCGTGAGCTTCAAGCGCCTTGATGAACTGCTGGAAGTCACGACGACTCCAAGACTCAAAGCCTTGTGCGATGAGCGCGTCCTTCTCCGCCAACTCTTCCTCAGTCAATGGCTCGGCTGGAACGGGGGACCATCAGCACATAGTAGCGAGCAAGAGATAAAGCGCACGTACCGCTGTCAATGAACTCCTGCTCCGCCTTCCGTTCCTCTTCCAACTTATCCGGCGTATCCTCCTCCGTCTGTGGATCCCTCGGCGCAGCAATGATATCGTTCAACCGCTTATGCGCCGCCAGCTCCCGCTCCTGCAACTCCGCCAAACGCGGCGGGAAGAACTGGAAGTCCTGCATGGCAACCTGCTTCGGAGCGCGGGGGATCTTCACCACCTTCTCCTTCTGCGCCGGTCCAGCCCGCATCGCGTCCTTGTAGTACGCGTCGACGCTGTAGTTCGTCTTGCGCTCGCGCTTGGACGGCTCAAGCGGGTTCAAGACCAGCCGGTTACGACCGGGACGGAAGTCCTGGCCTTCCCATTGTTGGACGGTGGATTCGGACTTGAAATTGGCGAGGTCGTCGAAGTTGAGACCCTCGTAGCGCGAGTTGAGCTCGGTCGTGCGGTTCTCGCCTTGGGCGATGATAGCGTCGATATCGTCGTCGACCTTGAACTCGCCAGTGCCGTTCACGATCTTTTCGGCGCCAGCAGTGATCATCTCCATGAGCTCCTCCTTGTTCGCCTCTGCGGATGCGTATCAGCAAAAATGAACACAAGACGACTGATGGCATATACATACGCTTCTGAGCCGTCTGGCGACCTTGTTGGATGACAAGCTGGTCAAGACGCAACTTCTGCGCAGCGCGCTCGAGCATGCGCTCCTCGACACTGTCCTCGGTGACGAAGCGGTAAACGTAGACCTGCTTCGTCTGACCGATACGATGAGCGCGGTCCATGGCCTGTAGATCGGCTTGAGGGTTCCAGTCGCTGTCGTACAGCACGACGATATCGGCCGTCGTAAGGTTGATACCGAGACCACCAGCGCGCGTCGTAAGCAAGAAGATGAACTTCTCGCTATCCGGCTTGTTGTACTCGTCAATCGCAGCGATACGGTCCTCGTGCGCAGTACCACCGTCGATGCGGCAGTACTTGTACTCGCGGAACAAGCAGTAATCCTCCAGAATATCGAGCATGCGGCTCATTTGGCTGAAGATGAGCACGCGCGAGCCCTTCTCCTTCATCCGGCGCAGGAGCTTGTCGAGAATGACCATCTTGCCGGCGTTCTCGACAAGGTGCTCGTCGGTGGTGTACGGTGGACCGGGTTCGGCGCCGTCGAAGAGGTAGGGGTGGCAGGTGACCTTGCGGAGTTGCATGACCATGTTCATGAGACGCGTCTTGCCCTCTTTCTTGCCCGTGAGACCGTTGACGGCGTCGATGTCCTTCTCGAGCACGGAGCGATACCACTTGCGCTGCATCTCGGTGAGCGGGATGAAGATGTTGATCTCCTTCTCTGTGAGGGGTGTCAGTGCCGGTCACGTTGCATGCGACCGAAGGGATCACTTACTCGGCAACAAGCTCTTCTCGACATCGGCCTTGACACGACGCAACAAGAACGGCCGCAAGATCTTATGCAGCGCCTCGACGACCTTCTTGCTCTTCTCGTCATCCGCGTCCTCCGCTCCCTCATCCTTATGCAAGAACGCCTCCAAGTCCGCATAGTCCGAGAAGATCTCCGGCGCAATGAAGTTGAGCAGCGCGAACAACTCCTTCAAGTTGTTTTGCAGCGGCGTGCCCGTGATGAGCAAACGACCACGGCTTGTGAACGCGCGGACGATCTGAGAGAGGATGGAGTCGACGTTCTTGATGCGGTGGGCCTCGTCGATGACGATGTACTCGAAGCTCAGCTTCTTGAGCGCACCCTTCTCGATCAAACACAGCTCGTAGGTCGTGATGCACACGTCGAAGTCCTGCGGCAATAGACGGTTGGCGATGAGCTCTGCACGCTCGTCCTTTGAACCCGAGAGCGAGAGGACGTTGAAGCTGGGAGCCCATTTCTCGAACTCGCGTGCCCAGTTCTGCAGTGTTGACTTGGGCACGACGACGAGGTGAGGGCCGTGGACGTCTCGGACATGCTTGAGGTAGGCGAGGAAGGAGATGGTCTGGAGCGTCTTGCCGAGACCCATCTCGTCGGCGAGAATACCGTTAAGACCGTTGTGGTGGAGCGAGACCATCCAGTTCAAACCCTGCAATTGGTACGGACGCATTTGACCATGGATGACTGACGATTGCATGAGCTGGGTCTGGTAGTACAAAGAGCAGAAGTACTTACAGGGTGGCGACTCCTCGAAGACGTACGGCTGGTCGTCAGCCTCGTTGTCCTCCTTCATCAACTCTGCATCCTCCTCCTTCTCGGACTTGCGGTGACGCGCGCCGTTGTCGCTGTGGACGCGTTTAGCTAGGAACATAAATCCGGGGAAGGTGAACTACTCACGCTGCCTTCTTCCGGCCACGCCCTTTAGGCTTCGGTTGCGCGTCAAGCAGTGCAGCATACTCGGGATCGCGTGCACGCTACAAGACGAGACAGTCAGAGCGCGATTCATGACATGTATGGCAGCACAAGCCAGCCCGCGCCACACGGTATGGAGACGCACCTTCATATCAACGAAGTGTTTAAACAAATCAGTTTGACCAAGAAGATATGAGTAACGTTTGATAGCATCGGCAAGCTATATCAAACTCGCGTTAGCAATAGTAGATTTTGACCAGAAGAGTACAACATACCTTTGCCTTGTCCATCTCTTGCCGCTTCTCATTCAACTTTCCCTCCGCCGCCTTCCTCTTCTGCGTCTTTTGTTGCCTCTCAGCCCTATCACCGGTAGCGGCTTTGCCTTTTCCCTTTCCAGTAAATGATGGCTCCTACGTGCACAAGTCAGTCGAGTATATAAACAGAGATATCAACAACAAACGCACCTCAGTCTCACTCATGAGCTCGTCGTCGTCGTCCTCGGGTACAGGTACGTCGTACTCGCTTTCACCCTCATCTCCAGGAGTCTCCTATATATTTGACGCGTCAGAATGTAGCAACTATGAATATGAACGCGCCACTGCACGCACGCGACGCGAGACGATGTTGCTGGGCACAACATCGCTCAAGATATCCTCGTCTCCAATCTGCATCACCACATAAGTATTCACTCGGGTCGGAATAGCTTATTTGAGAACGCGTACGGCCATGATGTTCCCGGTGTCAAGCACACGAGGGGAAAGTGGGTGGTGGGAGGAGCTGAGCTGTTGGCGCGCGTTCGACTTCCACCAGACGCGCCGCGCTCACTCGGCAAGCCCCGAAGAACCAGATCAACAATCCGACCACGCACGTCCAGAGGTCAAGTGACGCGGACGTGCTGTCAGAGGTAATGTATCCATGGATAGTAGTTGCGGGTACGAGAGTAGTAAGTTACATTGCTGAGTGTGTGTACGATTCCGAGTTCCGTGTAAGTAGTCTGGTGGAAAGCAATACGAGGCGGAGAAGTGAGGTACAGTCCAAGTCCTGGCAGTCTGAATCCTAGCGTGAAACGTTCGTTACTACGGCGCAGCCCGCTGGCTCCCCGAGCTCTTGCTCAGATCGCTATCATTGCGAAAAGTAGCCGACTCTGAGCCAAGCGCGCCATCCGTGTCGGGCTCCTTCGAGTCCCCGTAGTCCTCGTCCTCTCCTTCCAAGAATGCGTGCTGCGACGCGCCCGTTCGCGGACTGCGGTCCACCTCGTCACTGGAAGGGTCTGACAGTACGACCGAGTCCAGCTGCTCGTGCGGTCTTGTGCTACGAGCGCGTGAAGGTAATCGACCTTGTGCTGCGGCTTCCTCGGCGCGCCGTTGATGCCAACCTACGAGCACGACGATCGCGGTCGGGTACATCCCTGTTATCTGCGCTATGGCTCCCTCGAGCGCGAGATGTTCCTTGGATCCTGACATATCGCCTGTGTCGGTGATGCTGATCGTGATGAAGATGAGCTATATACAACGCTGTCAGCCTTCCTATCTGCGTAAAGCGGCTAAGAAGCACGTACCCAAAAGATGCAGTACGCCACACTAAAGTAGAACAAGATGGCGAGGATCTGGTACAGTAGTTGCGTCTCCGGATCGTCCGCATATACTCGACTCTTGGCCAGTTTGCGAAATTTCCTGCATTCGAATGAGCAACGATGCACTCTATCCGCAGAGTGTTCGTGAGTAACTCACCAGGTCTTGATGGCGTAAAGTACGGTCACCCACAGGTTTGCCAGAAACTGGCACAAGAACGTTAGCGATGAATGCGAATGAATAGAACGCGGACTTACGGAGATGAAGATGCAGATCTGGCCCCAACGGTTCATGGTTGGCTGTGGCACCACGAAGTTGATACCTCCGAGCTTGACCGTGCTATCGACGAGTATCTTATCTGGGCGCCGTGTGCTTGTCGCGATGTCTCCGAGCGCAAGGACTATGACACAGCTCAGTTTGGACACTCAACCACGGACAGCACGTTTTGTGCTCACCAAACGCTATAAGCCATATCCCGATAGAAACCCACTTCACCGCCCTCTTCTCCTTCCAAAGCGCACAAGCTCTCCAAAGCACAATGAGATCGCTAAACATAAACTACCTCACATCGCATTAGTCCCGCAGAGGTGTTACAGAGGCGCGGCGAACGTACGTTCCACCCGATCGAGACGGTCAACACCGTAGCTTGGTGCACAGAAGTACGGTCTCCCACGGATAGTATTCGGCCGGGGTACGCCAGGGCCGAGAGGTAGGAGTGCATGTCCATGGAAAGGTAGAGTGCTGATGCGGCGTACATCCCAGTCGTGATTAGGAGCATAGCGGCATTGGACCGTTGGTGAAGCCCTCGTTTCCTGTATATCTGGATTACACTTCCGGACACGCGCAAGGAAAGTGTGGCACGTACACCAATTGAAACGACGACCCAGCATAGAGCAACGAGAACATCCCTGGAGCATCCTGTCAGGATAAACCAATCCCGCGAACAACAATACCCCACACACCGAAGAATATGCACGAGACCAGGGCCGGGACAGCCCTCATCGTCGCCTCGCCCAGCGCCGCCTGCAACGCCTCTACATCCCCCGCAGACGACATGGGAGTTGGCTGGGAAGAGACGAGTCTAGTTACCCCGAGAGGCCGCAACGCATTTTCGCGTCCTGCGCGGTGTAAGCGGTCCAAGTCGAAGCTCGAATATGTCTCTCCGGCCGGGAGGGAGGGAAATAGTCGCGTCTCGGGCTAATGCAGGAACGATCTGATGGGAGTCGGGCCACCCACGACTGTGGTCAAGGTTTAGCGCCTGGGAGTTTGAATTGAGTCGACGACGGCGTAGTCGGGTTGCGTAGGTGCATCGTGTACTAGGTAGGAGGATCATATGGTTATCGTGGAGAGAGTTCAGTTGTAGCGAGAGCAAATTAGTTACAGAGATCGCAGCGGAGGTTAGTGAAGAGTCCGGCGGTACGCAAGTAAAACCCGGCGGCAGCGGTACTAGGTACAGAACTGAGTCCGGATAGGAACAACAGCGGACCCAGTTGTCTCGTACATGTACATACACTTTTAGAGTACAGCAATACAAAGGAAGATCGACCCGGTGAGAGCACAAACCAACGTAGAACCATCGCGCTGATATCAGACCGCCTCCGCCTGAGGTACCTCCTCGTTCTCCTCTGCTTCAAGAGGTTGCGCCCACGGATGAACCGGCACAGGCTCGATCCGAAAAGAGCTTATGCTCTCCGCCTCAACCTCGAACTGAGTAGTAACGCTGATCTCCAATGGTCCACAATCCTTGGCCTTGTGTCCAAACAGCCGCTCCATGATCCCGCGTCGAGCCGGTCGACCAAGAGGAATCTCGTCCACAGGGCTCCTCTGGAACGGGGTGCTGCTGCTGGGAGGTGACTGCGGCGTGCGCGGAGTACTGGGCGAGCTAAGTACCACAGACTTCGCGAACTTGAGATCGAGCGTAGCGGGCCGCCTGCGGTGCTGCTCCCCAACATCTCGTTCGCGCGTATCGGCCGTGGTAAAACGAGCATTAGACATGGCGCGATGGTCGGTGATCCAGAATAAAGCGAGAACGTTGATGACAACGTCCATCGAACACGCGGCGAGACAGACCCAGCCGAGCTCTTTGCCGTGAAGGGCGGTGAGGACGGCCATGTTCACCGCGGAGACGGTCAGGCCGATGAGCGAGGCTATGAGCGTGCGGACGGCGACAAGGCGGATGCGAGGGTTGGCGAGCTTTGCGCGGATGATGGGGGCTAGGAACATGCCGGTGAGGAAGGTGTTGATCCAGCTGTGTCTATAGCATTAGTGCGTGTACGATGAGCAAACACGGATGGGACTTACAGGTCATAGGTGAGCATGGTGACGGAGGAGAAGTGCTTCAACCCAATAACGCAGCTCCCATCTCCGCGGAACATATGCACTCTCCCTGTTACAGCTCATGTCAACACTGGTAGCGGACGGAAGGGTGAAGAGCGATACTTACCAATGATCATGAGAATGATAGGGACCATGTAGGCAAGAACGTTAGCCAGACAGATGATGTATACCCAAGATTGGAAGCGCGGCTTCTCCGGAGTCCATACAACATGTACCTTCTCGACTACGAAGAATGAATGGCATTAGAAGAGGCGCTTGAGGGGACAGAGACATACTCACTCAGGAAGAGGTAGATGAGCATCTTCGATGTACCGTAGAACGCGATGCATAGAATGATAGCAGCCTCACAGCTGCTCTCGTTGCTCTCCAGCCCGATACCGAAGATAGAGATCCCAGCTACGACGACGTCAGGAAACGGCAGTTCAGCAAGATGAGTATGGGGACGAACATGAAAGAACGAAGAGCCAAGAATCAACGAAGGCGAGGACCACGCAGACGCGTGGCCAAGAGTCAAAGACCGATGCCCATGTCGGAAATTGGGCGCTGGTGACCCGCCGAGATATGCAATGGGTGAGTACGGAGACGCCTGGCATCGTATATGAGTCGAGTGGTTCACGTTCAGGAGATGGGGAGACGTACCAAACATATGAATGCAGCAGCTGAGCACTTGCAGGGCCATGTTCGGGAACATAACACCTGCAGTCAAGCCCTCGAAACGTGTATAACGAGCGTGGTAGAAGGGTAGAGATCCTTCCTCCCTACCCGAGACGCCCTACCCTACTCTTATATATCTGTGCGCGCAGTGTGGGTAAAAGTAGTGACGGGCGTGAGCCCTGATATACAGGAAAGGCGAGCATTGTGGTATAGATTCGCGGGTGGGCAACCCTGCGTATGGTACAAGCGCACGCAGAGGACCAATCGCCGCGGACACGAGTGACCGGTCCGAGGTACGATCATGCGCCCGAGGTTCGCCGCCTGCCATAGAGGCTCGCCAACTCGTTGTTACTGGCCGTGCCACCTACAACTGGCGGGAGCGGCGCCTTGCATGGAAACGTCTGTGGCCACGGTCAGTGTCCGGCCAGCAACAGATGCAATCGTTGAATCTCACATTAAAAGATGATATTTACCATGACGTCGGCGTGCGTTGCGATGGTTTGAGCTTAGCACTTGAGCCTAGGTTAGCATTGCAATGGCATTTGACAGACGCGTCGAGTGTGTCATTGGCTTATGCGGAAGAGAGGAAAGGGTTCAAACCAGAGGGTGTCAAATGCGCGGAGCAGCCAGTATAGGAACGAATGCAAGGTGTGAGAAGGAGGTAGGTCCCGGGTCCGGAGCTGAAGTTGCCCCTGCTTATGTATCTATGAGATATCATGCATCATGGCTCGATGATGGGTTGCATCAGTTAAAACCCGGCTGCTATATCAGCGCCTGGTCCCACGGGTTTACGAGGAGATGAGCGCGACTGTTGACCTACGTGCGAAGCCCGAGCGGCGAGCGTGTTCTGTGCAGCGCCGTGCGCAGCCCCGGAAGCTATCGGCATCTGGATGAGCAAAGGCTATAGTATCCCTCGCACAGAGTATATCTTCCATGGGATGCAGAGATGGCCGTGGTCAACATGACGGTGTAAGGCAAGGCGCGTTGACGCGTGGAGCGTGGGCGCTTGTGCACCTGAGGTTAGGGTTCCAACGTCCCTTCCCGCGCGGCGAGTCGCGACGGCGGCGGCGTAATATACAAGCTTGTGAAAGTGCGCACTCCAGACCTTTGAGCGCAGGGAGCTAGGTCGCGCTACGCCGGACTGACTCGCTCTCGGGGCCGCACACTACGCGTGGCGGGGAATACTGAAACGAACAATGGTGATAGCATTTCATCAATAGCGTCGCAAAAGAGTAAACTACAGCAAGCCATTTCAGGAAGTGTCCGGCACACGAACCCAGTGGCGATAGGTACAGTTCAGAGCCCAAACGAGACAGGAGAAGCGAGCCTTATTCTACAAACATTCGCATACTGCATACAGACATGTACAGGGACTAGAGGCTGATGAGGGTGGAAGATCATTGGCGCTCGGCATCGGAGTGCTTGACGTCCTCAATCTCGGGCTCAAGCTGATGAGCAGCGGCCTTGACGTCGAAAGTGCTATCGCTGTCAGCCTCGACCTCGCACTGTGTCGTAACGCTGATCTCCAGCCTCTGACGATCCGCGGCGTTGGGTCCAAAGAAACGCTCAATGACTCCATGACGGACAGTACCGAGGGGCACCTCATCCGCGTAACTGCGCTGGAAGGGCATGCTGCTTGACGGGGAGCGCGGTGTGCGCGGTGTGCGCGACGAACTCACAACGAGCCCCTTCGTGGCCTTAAGGTTCAGCGTGGCAGGGCGCTCGCGATGTTCTCCTCCATCGCGTGTACCGGCCGAGGAGCTGACGTTGGCCATCGCGCGGTTATCCGTGATCCAGAATAGGGCAAGAACGTTGATAACGACGTCCATGGAGCAGCAAGCGAGACAAAGCCAGCCCAGCTCTTGACCATGGAGAGCGGTCAGAACGGCCATATTCACCGCGGAGACGGTGAGGCCTATGACAGAGGCGATGAGGGTGCGCACGGCCACCAGGCGGATACGCGGGTTGATCAGTTTAGCGCGCACAATCGGCGTCAGGAACATGCCGGTGAGGAAAGTATTGATCCAACTACAGATGCTCAGCGCTCAGCTTCCGTATAGATTGCGATGGGCGCTATAACTTACAGGTCGTATGTAAGCATCGTGACGGAGGAGAAGTGCTTGAGTCCAATCACACAGTTGCCGTCTGCGCGGAAGAGGTGAACCCGACCTGGTGAAGCACCCGTCAGTCACATACCCGGGAAGTGCCTGGGAGGATGGTACTTGCCGATAATCATGAGGATGATAGGGACAATGTATGCGAGAACATTGGCCAGACAGACAATGTAGACCCAGGACTGGAAGCGGGGCTTCCCTGGATTCCAGACGACATGGACCTTTTCAACTAGAACAAGGGTGAGTTTGGAGCTCGAGGCACAGCAAAACCGTACACACTCAGGAAGAGGTAGATCAGCATCTTTGAAGTGCCGTAGAACGCGATGCATAGGTAGATGGCCGCCGCGCAGTTGCCCATATAACTCTCCAACCCAATACCAAAGATAGAGATCCCAGCTACGAAGACGTGAGCTATCGTCACGCGCTTATAGCTTAGGTTGGACGTACAAGAAAAGACAAACAACCAAGAGTCAAAGAAGGCGAGAACGACGCATACCCGCGGCCAAGAGTCGAACAGGGAGGCCCATGTTGGGAATTGAGCGTGCGTAACTCGACGGGAGATGCAGTGACTGAGAACAGAGACCCCTGTGATCCATGTTAGCGCGGCGCGTATAGGTCGACTATAAGCTTACCCAGCAAATGAATGCAACAGCTCAACACCTGCAAACCCGGATTCGGGAACACGATGCCTGACTGCGCCGCCATACCCAAGAGCGTGTGTAATGAGCGTAGCGAAGAGGGGGAGGGGGTCTGAGTCCGATCTCTTTCTGCTCATGACGCTCGATCCCGCCCTTTAGTATCCGCGGACTCGTCCGTAGGCACAAGCGAGCCTCGACGGATAGGTACAAATGACGAGAGAAGAGTCTCGGTAATGCGAGGAATATGGTCTTCATTGGCGGACGATCGCCCCTGTGCACCGTACGACCGTACCGCGGGAGACCTACGGAGGCTTGCGGTCGCGTCAATTAATTGCCGTACCGAGGTACAATCATGCGCCCACTTACCGCCCTGCCACAAAGGCTTTCCGATTCGGTTCGCGACGGCGCGCCACCGTCGCCTTGCTGGATGATAGAGGCGTTGCGCACATATGGGGGTTTCGTCGTACGCCACTCAGTTCGGCGCGCTGTTTCAGACATATCGCATGGCAAAGACCTCCTGAAGGAATGCAGAGTTGAATTGTGGACTCATATAAAGCCCGACAAACGGAGAAAAGCTCCCGCCGACCCGAAGACTGCCAAAGCGCTGAATCGAGGCAACGACGAGGACCGTGCGGCCACTGCCGCGCCCTAACACCGCACTTGACCGCTGTGCTGTTTAGCTTTTGTGCATCATCGTAGTGTACCTGTGCGTCAGTGAACGTCGAGGAAACTCACCAGGGCAACGCTAAGCGTAATATGCATTTTGGGCGAGATAATGAAGATAAGTACTGACTTGATTATCGCGTCCTGTCATCGGGGCGTGCGTTAGCCAGTGAAAAGGCCTCTATAGGGCGACGGATCCGTCTCGTATGTCGGCGTTGATGCGGGGGCGGTACGGCCATTGGCTCCCGTGTGTCCGTTCTTTTCGTCGCAGACTACCGCGACTCGCTGCTAGAGCCGGAACTGCTGTCTGCTCGACGGGTGCCTGGTTTTCAGTACTAGAGGGCCGGTGTTTGCTTGAGCCGGTCGCCCCCGCCATAGCATCCTATCTTTCACCGTCAGAAAGTTGAAGGGATGGGCTCAGCAAACGACGAAGTTGAGGCAATTCTGAGATGACGCAGCTGCGCGCTTGTTTGTACATGAGCGCTCTGAGCGCCGAGCGCTTGAGCCTCATTGATCCACGGAAATGATCACAACACAAGGTCTGGAAAGGCCAGGCTCGTTACGCGCGATGGCGCGGACGAGTTCAGCATCACGAGCGCCCTCAAGTCGAGATGGGAAGAGCAATCAGAGCGTCGGAGTACACGCTAGCTGATCAGCTCATGGACTTGTCAAGCTTCAGCTTAAGCTGAATACAGCCGAGCGCGTCACTGAGCGGACCTAAGAGTCAGATATTAGCTCTGTATACTCAATGAAGATAGGCTTTAACGCACACTTGCCTAGACTGTCGAGCACCATGAGACCTCATGCATGTCGTCACCGCACTCGAAGCCAGATGGAATAGGTGCGCCCTGTATATCAGCAAAGGATATGCAGCGGCGCAGAAACAGCTTCCAGGCTGCGCAATCGGACAAGACTCTCGCTAAGACTTGAACAGGAGTGTTTACGCATGATCCTTGACGTGTATGCACCGAAGAGGACCGTGATAGGGCACCGCTCGCGCTATCACGAGTGGCAGCACAGATCGCCGCAACCCGCGAACTTTCATCGCTGTGGACACATCACACGAGTTCCTATGCGAGTACAAGGGCTATCGCAGCCGGAGTGCAACATATTAAAGTTGGAATCGTGGATATCCAGGACCTGTCAAGCGCCAGCCATTCGGTAGAGTTACGAGTATGCCGGATGAACTTGTGTCCAGTGAGTGCAAGACTACAGAGAGCGAAGAAGAGTGCAATCCGTCATGGACCTATCATGCACCAAGACCGGTGCCGTCGCATTTCGGGGGCGACCATCGTGGTCGAGTTCAAGCCGTGCTTGTCGACTTCGCGCACAAGCGCTGAACAACGGAGCCCGGCCCGAAGCTCTTTGTGGGTTCATGATGACACGAGTAGAAGCAAAAAAGCATATTTGACAGTTCGCCCAGACCAGTTCGCCGTCCGTACGGTGAGTTCAACCACTCTACCAGCCATATCAAGCGCGTAGAGAACATCCAGTCGTACGCGTACGCGGCTCCGCTCGGCATCTAGACTGTTCGAGCAGCGAAGACACACTTTCCCTGCGTCTATGCTCGCCGCTTGCCACTATAACTTCCATACGTTCTTCCCCTTCCCGGTAAGCCTGCAGGCAGACTAGCTCGCAACTCTGCGCACGTTCTCGTCTCTTCATTCCCTTTCCTACTTTCGCTCTCCCTCCGCACTCTTCTCGCGCAGGCGATGGCGACTTGCAACGTTCACGAGTCTCCAGTGCTCACTGGCAGGAAGCCCAGAATGGAAGTTTCAGTAATATACTATAGTCACCCGAACCTAAACTAGAATATGTGCATTAAGATGATGAGAAGCGGCTACCCAACGAACACAAACGTCTAGAAGTGGATGGCCTTGCCCGAGTACGCGGCAAGTGCTGCCTCACGGAACGCCTCGGAGAGCGTAGGGTGTGCGTGCGTCGTCCTTGCAATATCCTCCGAGCTTGCGCCGTACTCCATCGCCACGACCGCCTCCGCGATCATCTCGCCCGCATTGGGACCCATGATGTGCACGCCCAAGATCTTGTCCGTCTCCTTCTCCGCAAGGAACTTGACCTGACCCTCAGTGTCCAAGTTTGTCTTGGCACGCGAGTTGGCCAGGAAGGGGAACTTCCCGACCTTGTACTGCACGCCAGCCGCCTTAAGCTCCTGCTCAGACTTGCCGACCCATGCGACTTCGGGGTGGGTGTAGACGACGGCAGGAATCGTGTCGTAGTTGACGTGACCGTGACCGGTCTTGATGTACTCAGCAGCGGCAATGCCCTCCTCCTCGGCCTTGTGTGCCAGCATCTGTCCGAACGTCACGTCACCAATGCAGCGGATGTTCGAGGCGGTCGTGTTGAACTGCGAGTCGATGACAATGCGGCCCTTGGGGTCGACCTCGACGCCCGCAGCCTCGAGGTTCAAGCCCTCAGTGTATGGCCTGCGACCAACAGAGACAAGGACGACGTCAGCCTCGTACTGCGAAATGCGTTAAGCGATCGATGTAGTATAGCAAGCAAATATTACATACCGTAGCCTCCTTGCCGCCCTTCGCAGCCTCGGTCTTGAGTACGATCTTGCCGTCCTTCTTCTCAGCCGAGAGAACCTTGGTGTTAAGCGAGAACTTCAAGCCCTGCTTCTTCAAGCTCTTCTCGAACTGCTTCGCAATCTCCTCGTCCATACCCGGTCCGCCGATACCGCCGAGGAACTCGACGACCGTGACCTCCGCGCCCAAACGACTCCAGACCGAGCCCATCTCGAGACCAATAACACCACCTCCAATGACGATCATCTTCTCCGGGACCTTCTTCAACGAGAGAGCACCGGTAGACGAGACAATCTGCTCCTCGTCGATAGTGATAGCGCCGCCGGGGAAGGGTGTAACCTCGGAACCAGTCGCAATGATGATGTTCTTGCCCTCGATTTCGGTCTCGCCGCCTTCAAGCAGTTGGACGCCGATCTTGGTGTTGGACTTGAACGAGGCGGCGCCCTTAATGTAGTCGACCTTGTTCTGGCGGAAAAGCATCTCAACGCCCTTGGTCAGGCCAGTGACTGAGTCGTCCTTCGCCTTCAACATCTGCTCAAGGTTGAGCGAGACCTCGCCAACTGTACAGTATTGTCAGCATCGATCCTCCCTAGAAGAGTATGACATGATAGAAGCGTGGGCGCTTAGGAATACTTCTTAAAGCGCGCAAGACTTGAGAATAGAAGCTTACCCTCAATGCCGCGCTTCTTGAAGTCATGCTGAGCCTGATGGTACAAATGCGAGTTGTTGAGCATGGCTTTGGACGGGATGCAGCCAACGTTCAAACATGTGCCGCCAAGCGCTCCGCGCTTCTCGATGCATGCCGTCTGTATAGCCATTAGCATTTCTTCATTGCGTTATTTGCCGCAAGTCACGCACACGAAGACCAAGTTGTGCAGCCTTGATAGCCGCAACATAGCCACCCGGACCTAGCGGCATATGTCAGACCATATATAAGGGACGAACAAATTATCATACGTACCTCCGCCAATGACAACAGCATCGTAGGGCTCCGCGGCTGTGGCGAGACCGCGCTGCCAGCGGGAGACGGCTGCCGGTGCACTGCGCGCGGCTACACGCGATGCCGACTACAGTTCAATTTCAGCGGACTTCTCCACATTTTTCAAGATAGCGAACGCACAGATTTTGTTGCGGTCTGGAGGGCGAGCATGACGGTTGGTGAGCAAGTCCGGGAGATGCGCTGGGCCCGGAACTCGAGCAAGCGGGCACGCTTCGGTCCGGGTGCACCCGCACGCGCGTCCGACGCGCCTTACGCATCTTGCCTCCGCCACTCACCGGTGTGACCGGTAGAACCAAGGAGGACTCTGATCAACTATGCATCGACTACGTATACGCGTAGAAGAGGGAGACTACGTGGTCCTCACGTTCTAGGATGTTCTCATACTGCCCACTGCTCACGTCCTTGTGCAGCGCTTGTCACGGGCCTCGGTCGCCACAGCGACATATCTGTAACGGCCCAGGCCATATCTGCCCAATTGCACACTCTTTCCTTCAGGTACAACTGCGCAGAAGGGCTTGCTTGGAATTGTATATGCGCGCTGGAAGGTGTTTAGGATGCTGTCCTACGCCACATCTTACGATTCCTTTGCTCAGGCTACGCAGGCGCGGTCTCATTCGTGTTCAGAAATAATGTCCTGTCTTTTCACCATGAAAGTCCGCGCAGAGGTTTTGAATGTTCTGACGTTGGAACGCTCCACCGTCTCAAGTCTGCAATTGGTGAAGAATAATGTCCATTGAGGTTAATGTTTAACACTGTCCAGAAATAGCGGAGATACAAGAACAGCGGTCGCAAAGAAGCAACAGGCACAAAGGTACGCAGACAGAATGAATGAGGAGGAGAAAGAGAGTCTGAACCAAGCTGTATAGGTTAGAAGCCGCGAAACATATCGTCTCTATGCTTCAGCAGAGCGACAAGACCCACTTAGAAGCCCCCTGCGGTGAGACCAGTGAGGCCGAGGTTGCCCAGGATACCGTCAAGACCCGTAATGAGACCCTGGAGAATGCCAACCACAGCGGTAAGGAGTTCCTCGACGAGCGTCACGACGTTCGCGAGGAGCGCCGCAAGAGTAGCGCCGAGCTGAGTGAAGATAGGGATGATGGTGACCGCGTTGACACCCGGAGTAGTCACGAGCTTGTGGCTAGGCTGGAGGATAGCCTGTGGTTTTACATATGTGAGCTCTCTAGTCGTTGGACACGAAAACAGGTCTACTCACGTTGAAGACGTTGGCCAGGGACTTGATTGTGGCCGTCTTGTCAGCGGAGCCGCGCGGAAGCGCGGCGATCTTGGTCGACGCCTCAGAGACGAGGGGCTTGATCTGGGCGACGACGCCCTGCACGGCGAAGACGTTCGCAGTAGCGGGTGTCATCGAAGCTGTAGTGAAGTGAGTGATTATGTCGCGGCTCCGGTCCGACAAGATTGCTGACCGAACTTCGCAGCGATGGGACTAACGTCCGAGGCGAGCTTGTCGAGGATCTCGACAGCGCTCTCCTGACGCTTGGTTGGGACAGCAGAAGCGGCGACGCCGAGAACGAAGAGCGCGAAGGTAGCGACTTTGCCGAGCGAGAACATGTTGTTGATACTGGGGGTGAAGAGATGTGAAGAAGAGGATGAAGAGCTCAGAAGTCAGTCGCAGTGCGCTGATGTTGGACTTGGAGAGACTGGTAGGCGTACTTATAGTGCTCTGAAGCTGGGATTCGCAGAAGACTTGCGTAGAAGTGCTTCAGTCGCATAGGGACGAGACGCAGAAGCTGGAAAGGTTATTTGATATCCATAATGGGATTCAGACAGGTAGACGCCCTGGAGTACGGCGAGATGCGATGCACTGAAGTAGAGTGACAGATATTACATGTGCCGTCACAAGTTCGTGCTCATCACGGGTATCTCCGTTCGACCAGTCTGATAAGCTCATAGGCCTACGATCGCAGATCAATCAGTCGCCGCAAATCGGCTAACACGTTATACTCGTGTGGAGTTAAGTGAATGGATGGAAGATTCTGCTGCAGCACATCCTGTACTATCGAACTCATCCAGTCCGCAATATGAGCGGCGAAGCAGGGCATTGCCGGATGCACGCATACACACCGAAACGTTTTGTGCACATGCAGCCTGATATAGTGTACGTGGCAGTGATAATGAGGAGTAGCGCTACACCCTCATACCGTGGCTTGGTTTGCTCGCATTGCATTCCAGAGGATGATTACGCCTCAGTATGTCTTCATCCGAACTATAGAGCGACAGCTCTGAGAGTGCAGCATATAGTCAGTCGACGTAGCGGGCGCGCGCAGTGTTGACTGATGTTTTGGTTGACGGTGTCGACCACTTGGCCTGGTGACATAGACTTCGTGGCCAACGTCATCGACGGGGAGAGATATGACAGGAGGATGAGTTGTCGCGATACAGTGACTATGTGTAGGATGAAAGAGGGTACGCCTAATAGGCTTGCACAAATACGAGAGTTTGGCGGCAAGTCCAGACGCCGAGGCTCCGCTTCGTAGTCGTGTCATTTGAACGGAACCGTGAAGCCGACGCCTCAAAGTTGACACTGGTACAGCCTGTGCAAGAGTGATGCGTCTCATCCAGCTTCCGGTGATCTACGTGAGCCCGGATGGGCGTACTGTTCTTGCTTCTTCGCGTGTCATCAAGAATCTACACGCGTCGGCCCGAGCTCCGGTCCTAAGCGCTTGAGCGCGAAGCCGGCGGCGAGCGTCCCAAACGCGTCTTGGACCTGACCATGATTACTGAGCCCCCAAGCGAACAACCGCTGTGTGGGCCCCTGCACTTGACGTTACGCTTGCTCAACAGCTGAGGTGTCATCGTGGGGGTATGCCAGCTGTCCTACAAGATGTTCTTTCATATTCTGACCTGAGATTATCAGAGGGATATCAATAGTCAAGTGGACTTGCGAGCGCTGACCAGCCGTACTGCCAATCGTGTACTGTATAGAATCTGCACCCCCACATTCTCTGGCTCTCTTCTGATACTACACGGCCATGTACCGAATGACCGCTTCATGAATTGCACCCGCTTCACCTATGCGTTGAGAGCTCAGTCAGATGCCGCCGTGGCGGCTTACAACAGCTCACACGGCGAAGACCGAAGGTATCATGTACGCCATCGCAGCTCATTGCCGAGACCGACACATATGGCCATCGGTGCCGATGTTCGGTGAGCCTATTTGCCATCTCATACATCTCTCGCGCCTTACCTTTCTCAGGTCTCACAGAAGTGCGATGCGCCAGGGTCCCGTTCACAAGTGACGCAACAATACTCGATGGAAGACCGTTCATGAGATATGTGAAACTCTATACCGAGGAGGGCCGTAGAAATGGGGGGCGCGAGCGACCATCTCTGGAACGAGCCGAAAGCGATACAACAGCCGTTGAGGTGAGTAAGGAGAGCAGCGTACTCATATCGGGAAACTGTGACTGACTGCTGTAGAAGAAGAACCTGACGTCTGCGAGCGCTCATAGCTCCAGCTTTTTGCGGCGAAACCCATTCTGTGGAATATCACCGCGGCAGAAGCTTAGCCTGACGATCATCGGCGCGGCATGGAGCGATACCCACAGTCCCTCTGTTTGACCCTTACAGTCCCCTTCCTATGACAATACATGACAATGGATCGTTTTGTTCGCTAAGGGTCCAGGGAAAGACGCCATGTCATGTCAGTATCAGAATGGACATCATCTGCCGCCATTGATCGCCTGATAATAGTGCGCTTCCAGGTGCTCCGCCGCACGTTCCCAGGTATGCGATTCGACAAATTTGGTTTTACGTACCAGGGAAGAATACTGACCGTCTCGTCGAAGTTGCGAATGGCGAACAACTGCGGCTCACGAACCATCTCTCTTCATGCAGTACGCTTCTAGAAGCAAAGGATTGGCCGACCTTGACCAAGCTTCCGTCTCGGCCTTGTGCCCACCTTGCATATTGGCTGCCCTATCGCATGCCCATAGTGTTTGATTCTGTGTCTGCTTTTCTAGAAGGTACGATACCCGAAATCCCAAGCTCCGATATTCGGCTAAACCCCGATCATAGTGTCAGACAACCCGTACGACAGGCACTACGACTTCAATGCGCAACCTCTCTGTTTCGCTATTGTCTTTGGATTGTGCGTAAGTGACCCGAGCGGCAGCGGCGAGTCCGCACGGCCAGAGTCGATCACGCAAAGTGGCTTGCGGCGACAGACTCCTCCCGCGTAGATCTTGTGCATCTCCTGGCATCTGTACACAGGAGTGGAGTGGTTTTGCGAGCTTATCCGTGCCTCCTTTTGGCTAGATGCTAATCCGGATTCATCGTACCCCCTCAATGCGACTTGCCATTGATTGTATCGTTCCATCCTCGCACTTCGCCGTCACTCGGCCTCCTTATTCCCCAGGCAATTACTTCTAAGAGGTGATGCAAGCGCTACATATTGAATCGTGTGCATCAACGATTGGCAGGCAAGGACGCTCCAGCTTCGCTGGATAGCCTATATGGGATAGGAAACGCCGAGAAGGGGATACGGGCTCCCTCGACCCTTGCACTAGGAACGTGGCAGACGCCACGACGGTTCGCGCACAGCAGCGGCTGCTGCTTTACGCCGAAGATATCACTTTACTACGGCTTTCGTCTACTCGCGGCTCAATGCATGGGTAACTTCGTCGGCGTGCCGAAACCCTCGTCTTTCCAAGCGCCCGCCTCGAGTCCATCACGACGCGACGTCAAAGCCCTTACATAGTGCTGCGGACATATCCTGCTCTCTCCGCCAGTCACACAACCTCCCATACATTGAAAGCACGATGCGCCGTAAAGTCCGTGATGGCAGTTCAATTGTCACAGTACACCAACGAGCTGGAGCGCCGCATGTCATGTCATTGTCAAGACGCGATCTTACTGTAAGGCATCTACTATCTTTACCCTTTATCGCCCCGTTAACCCCGTCAACCCCGCCCAGGCCCTAAGACGCCCGTCAAACTAGCTTCGATGAAGACGCGCACAGAGTAAAGGTCAGAAAGTATATTCTGCAATGAAAGTAGTCAGGTGAAGCTCTCTGTCTGGCAGTATACTCATATTTGCGCGGGTCAATCCCGTCATTCTCGCTGATATCTCGAGGATGAGTGTGGGTATGGCCGTTGCTCGTTATACTGCAAAATTGTTTGCGCGTGGTCACTGCTTCTGCGGCGCTTGCATTTCATTCGACAATGGTAAGTTCGTCCCGACCGCGCATAATGCACCCTCAAAACCTCATGATAGTTCCCCGCAGCGCAATAGACGCTGAAAACATCAGGAAGCTACGATACGCTCTCACTCACGCCTCTCGGGAACTTGTTCGTGCAAGGATAGATCTTCCATCTTCTGCTGTACGGTTGACCTATCACTGCATTCTTGCGGCGCGGACTGTTTAGAGCCCGGGAACGACCCTGTTGCAGAGTGCAACTCGGATGCACGGCTTCCGAAGTCCTACTGTGGATGCTGTCTTCAGTTCTTCGCCTATTCATCGATTATAGAAGTCAAGCCACGCACGCCGGCGTAGATGTTCTGTGCAAATGGTGCAAACATCTGCCCCCAATCTGCTTTGTGCCTCAGGCAGATAACCGCAGGACGAGACTCGGACTTTTCTCAGAAAGTGGAGCTATGTTTCTATAGCCTCGTGAAGTCGCAAGGCACGTCTAGGTCATGCAGCACTCCTCGGACTCCTTGCTGATACCTGTAGCCGCCAGCCGACTGCTTGCGGGGAGAGGACACCCGGGCTTTCTCGTTGCTAGGCGCGCATGACGCTGGTCACGCTTATCCCAGGACGATGAACTCTGCCTCGAAGCCTTCTTCGCGCTAGACCTTAGGGAAGAGAGCACAGACACAGCTTCGTGCATCTCACAAACCTTCGCTACTCTCCGGGGTTGGCTTGAGAGTCCGCTTGTACTCACCGGGTTGGTGGCCATGTGCGCAGTCGAGACCGGCCCGCCAGTTTGTGGCCCTTCCCACGTAGAGCGCTCGTGGCTCTTCTTGAACACATCTTCAACCGGCAACTGATATCTATGTCCAACATGCCCTGAAACTCCGGGTGCTATGCTCTACTCTCAAGTGGACACTCATCTCTATAGCTTATGACGACAGCCATCCCGTCTGCGTTGTCCGCTCCCGGCACAAGGGATCTATTTCAGTCATTCTCTCTACGACTTACCACACCGCCTTCAATCTCTCGCCAGAATGTATTCATCCGAACAGCTGAGCTTACTTGATTCCGCCACCAAGAAACTTTGAAAATGACAACGCATGCATGAACGACGACCCTTATTCAAAGTCGACCCGGTCTCGAGATGATCAAGAAGCGTTCAACGGTCGATCCGTCGATCCACCCGAAGCAGTTTTGACCTCGGCATCCCATCGCCCCTGCGGCAGATGGTCAGAAGTCAACCTCGACCTGTAACGATCCTCTGAGCCTAAACATTGGACTGACCTCCGTGACCTCCACAATCTCGCGGTACCGTGGCCCACTGCTCACACGGCACACGATTGTGCTGTAGCGCATCATGTTTCACCGTACCTTTGGAGTCCCCTTCGAGTCCCCGCCTCATGCTGAGTATCAAGCCGCCATTCTAGGATTCTTCGTCTCGCCCCTGGCTGACGCACGTCTCAATACGCTTGCTCCTGGACTGTATAAATACTACAGTCAGTAAGTCCTAGCTTCAGCATCAGCGCACCGCGACTGACCTCCGAGCTCTACCTCCTCTAGCACTCTCCTCTTCTCTCTACACTCAACGCAATGTTCTCGCTCACCAAGGTCGCTACCTTCGCGCTCTTCGCCCTCGGCGTTGCTGCATCCACCGTTCCAGCCAAGCGCCAGTCCTCTGAGGCTGCCACCATCCTCAACGATCTCGCCGAGACGATCACTCCCATTGCTGCTGAGCTCGGTGAGTCTCGCAAGGTATACATCGGATTCATCTCACCCCTTCAAACTCACAGGATTCCTTACGCCCGCGAACGCGTCCATCCTCACCGTGACGCCAATTGTCACGCAGATGAACGCCATGATGGTCGCAGCTCAGGGCAAGCTCGCTGCGCTTCCAGCTGGCTCTGCCGCAAGCGACAAGACCGCCACCATCAAGGCCCTGGCCAATGTCTTCACCGTAAGTTTTCCCTACATCATGATCTTGACCAGGAGCCAATGCCAATCCTCTATTGCAGGCTTCGCTCACCCCCGGCAACAAGCTCGTCGCCACCCCTGGTGTCAGCGCGGTTACCATTGTCCCTATCTTCACCCAGATCGGTATCACTCTCGCGGCACTCCTCGCTGACGTCGTCACGCTCGTCGAAGAGGTCCTCACTGTAGTTGTCGACCTCCTCGACGGCCTCATTGCTGGTCTAGAGGCCACCCTCACTGACCTTGGCCTCACCGGTCTTACCGCTATGGGGTTCTAAACTTATACTTTCAGTTATGGCCTGTCAAATGTAACATGTAAACTGGTATTCTCCGAGTCTGTACTTCTCCCGCTTCTGAGCATTTGTACCTTGCATTTGCGCCTACCTTGAGCCAATGTCATATCGTCGATCTTGCCTGCCTTCGCGCGAATTCGGAGAAGCGAGAGTTCGCTCAGGCAACATCAAGAGCCCATGCGATAACGCGATAACAGGGAGCAACGAGGAACATCATAGATCTCCGAGGACCATCCGAAGCCTATCGATACAATCAATTCTGGACGTGAGCGGGCAACGATAATAGGTTACAGTAAGGCCCTAATGGCCGATTTTGTGAAGTGATGCTCAGGACGGATGCACAAATGAGGAAGAGAGAAGGGATTGGAAGCACCCAATCGAACCCGAAACACGATCGGCGCGTACGGCAACATGCGCGCACGGATAGGGGTATGTGGCACTTTGAAGCAGCGGACCAGGTATGTTCGCGTGCTGGCCAGTAGAAGTTTTGAGGCCAGGCGCAAGGAAGGGTTGAGGTGCGCAGCGTCTCCGACAGTGCTTCTGGATGGTGTCGGTCCAGGGGTGTATTGGGGGCGTATTTCTTCGGAATGTTGCCCGGCCGGAAGGCGTAGCTTCTATTTCCCGCGAATCATGAGCGCTACCCCACTGACAGCAAGTCAAACCCCACAGGTGCTACTGACCAGGTGATGGTTATCCAAGTGCAGTGCTCTGATCGATGGGCCCTACGATGAAGACTCTGGTGGGGCGAACGGATGCGAGTTATAGTGCTCCTCCATCCACACGTCCGCGTCCGCAGCCTCGATGCGCTGCTGAACGAGCGCCTCAAGCTTCCCGAACGTCGCTGTACCAATGACGTCGGCATATGACAGCGGAAGACCAGCTTTCACTGCCAATCCGGCCAGCAAGAATGCAGACATGGGATCGACGCCCACACTGGAGAGCGGCGTGTCGGGTTTCAACCCATCAACGGGTACAAGGAGCACAGAGCTCAAGATGTAGCGGAGGCGACCAGCAATCGCGACGGATGGCGGCGGCTGTGAAGAGTCTTCCGAGCTAGTGGTAGACATTATGCGTGTGCAGATGCAGTAGAGTTTGTGGTGGTGGTCGAGGACAAGTCTTGAGAGTGAGACGCCACGGCGCGGAGACTTGCCGTGCCGCGTCGTGGAACTTGCTCCGGACCACCATCGACCTTTCCTGGAGCTTCTCGCCCGAGCGCCTGAGAGACTTGCCGTTTGGGGTAAGACGGTCGAAGTGCACCCTTCGTGATACGTGTACTAATGAAATACATAATCGTAGGAACCTGCCTTCAGTATGAGTGAACTAGCGGCGCCGAGCACATCTTCACGCTGGTCAGCCCTTCCTGCGGAATTCATCCGCTTCATACTTTACTTCGATGCTGTACTGGAGCCTCCTGCCCAACAATCATGGAGAAAGCCTGGAGATCTCGGGTGGATACGACTCTCCCATATCTGTCGCGGTTGGCGAGCCATTGCTCTGCACGACGTGCCTAATTTGTGGGCCGAAAGCGTCAGCGTCTTCCCGCGGGCGCTTGAAGTTTGCGTCGAACGTGCTGGCAATGAACCTCTAGTCCTCAACTTTCCTGTTTCTCGACAATCCCGAGAGAATCTTGCACCCTATTGAAAAGGGCTTGCATCGTCCGTGATGTCGGTGCTCCAGCGTATTATGCACCCAAGGAGCCCCATTGGGCAACAGTATTTGCAGGAGCACGTTTGCCTATACTGGTGGAATTGAACCTCCAACGCCGGGACCTCCCTGATCGTGGAATCGATCCAAAAGCATTCCTCGTCGCACCTCTACTCCGCTCTTGTACGTCGGGGTCCTACATACCCATCAAGGCGCCGAATATCCAGACGCTAGACCTATCCGGCGGTAACTACAATTTCATGGAGCTACCTGAGCTCGTCAAGATGTTGCGTCGCATGCAATCCTTAGTCTCTCTGACCTTGCACCGTGAACGAAGAGAATCTGACGACGCACCCTTCAAAGGAAAGCCTGTGCAATTGCCGCACCTTCGACATTTCCATTGTGAAGGATCAACCGCCACACAAGCTCTGCGATACTGGTCGTCCATCATACCGTCACCTTCGTCTGAAGCGACTCTCCTCGAGGATATATACGATCCTGATCACAAATTATGGAAGAAAATACTCGAATCGAAGGCCGTGACTTCGTCGCGAAGAGTCTTCCCTGATACATTACTCCTTCGCCATGCCTATGACGACCCATATAATATATCTTTCGAGCACGCCGAATTCACGTCTCTGCCTTACGAGTTCACGTTTACCAGCGAATGGGCTTACTCGGCGCTCTCTTCCTCGTCACCCCCATCGGGCATCACTCTGCGCGTCGAGGTGGAATACGAAGACAAAGGAAGGCCTCACGGTCGCGACATCCTCGTATCCTTGCAACCCCTTGTAGCCCAACACATTCGACGACTATGCATTGTACAACCGGATGTCGCACTGGGCATTGACGATCATACAAGGTACAGGGAAGACCGCGAGATGCTTCGCTCGACTTTCCGTCCTTGGTCACAACTACGCGCGCTATGTATCGTGAAACCCGGCAGTGGAACGCTTCGAGCTCTGCGCATACGTGATGAAGACGAGAAAGACGACACCCTCCTGCCTCTTCTGCGAGAGCTTGAAATCGAAGTACGCGGACACGAGCCAGATGGATGGTGGTTCGAGCTGCATTACATGCTTATGTCGAGGAGGGACGCGCGCTGTGCGCTCGAACGCTTCACTTTGCACGGCCTTGACTGCCCTACCAAGAATGCGCCTTATATGTCCTCCAAGAAGTCGACGATGGTCGAATTGACTTCTGACTGTCATTCCGCCATGTTTCCCCCATGCACCAAGATCTTTGTTGATGAGCGCGTCACATGTAAAGAGCACACTACTTAGTGACTGATATTCTACATTTCGTTGATCATGATGATAGTTTGACGGACGGCGACGGAGCAAGCTAGTAACAAACGGCCGCGTGACCATTATCGTCTTGTAGGGAATTCAACCCACCCCCGTCGGGTTCCATATGGTAACGAGTACCTGGGTGGTGATGACAGCTAACCTCGCAATTCCATGGTTCGGTTGCGAGCGTATTGACATTCGGATGTCCCACGCATGAGATACCGCCTCGCGCTGTTCAAGACCGCATTCTGGAGCAACCAAAGCAGGAAACACACCAACAACCAGTGGCAGGTAAGACGACTGCGTCACATTAATCGTGTAGTAGATTACGGGTAACAGGAGCAGCCGCCTGGAGAAACGGAACTAATACAGCAAGCGCGCAGAAGACGTACTCGTACATTGGTGTGATCATTAGGTAGCAAGGCGACGGGATGGAAGAAGAGAACATGGTGAAAGGTATCCGCGGCGAGTCAAGCATCGTACAGAGAGAAGGTTAGGATAGCGGTACAGTTGAGAGAAGTGTCCGAGAAAGGATAAGTCAGAATGTTTAGACGATGGTGAACGCCTCCGAGTGCCACGTCTCGCCCTTCTGTGCGGCATCGGCGCGCTCCTGCGCCTTGACGGAGTACCCGCCCTCGTGGCCGGCCTGGACGATGGCGCTGTCGCGCTTGGCGACAACCTTGAACTGCGAGTTGCGCTTGCTGGCCGTGCTGGCCGCCTCGGACTTCTTCGCCTCCGCCTGCTCCTTGTTGCGCTGGAACACAGCCTTGAGAGCATCGCCACGGGTCGCCTCGTCAGAGCGCTTAGCCTCGGCGTAGCGGTCGCGGACGGCGACGAGCTGACCGTCGAGGTACTCGAACGCAGTGGTGATAGCATCCTGCGCAGCCTTCTGGATCTGCTTCTTGATGAGACCAGTCGCGAGCGGGCGGAGCGTCTTATAGAGAAGATCGTGCTTCGAGTCGCGGATGGAGAACTTGATCGAGTCAACCTTGACGTTGACGTTCTTGACCTTGAAGACGGAGGACTTGTCCTTGTTAGCTGAAGCGAGGTGAACGGTAGCCTAAGGAACAGCGTGTAAGCACGGCGCACGACAATCAAACGTAAGGATGAACTAACCGTAAGACCCTGTCCGCCGAGAACGACGTCCGCGAGACCTTGGTCGGTGAGCTTGGGGAAACCAGACTTCTTGCGGAAGTAGAACGCGACGTCGCGCATGTCGGCCTGGATGTGACCGAGCGTGAGTGTGAACTCGTGGTGCGACTCGTCCTTGATGGTGTTGTACGGCGAGAACTTGACGAAGTTGTGCGCCTCCATCGAGACGACGTTCGGGAAGATGTTGCGGCCCTGGAACGTGAGGTTCTCGATGACGAGGTCGAGCTGGTCGTCTGTGTACTCGATGCGCGGGATGGGAACGTAGCCAACCTGAATGAGCGCAGATAAACAGAAGATTCAAAGAGAGTTGACGCGAAGGTGCGTACCTGCTCGACGATGGTCGGGAGGATGACTTTGCGGATGTCGAGCCAGAGATCAGGCTTGAACTTTAACGAGCCCTCCGCGTCGAAGAGCAAGTCGCGGGTGAGGCGCGCGAGGTCGTCGCCGAAGCGCTTGTTGATGGGGTCGTCGCCCATGGCCTTGAACCAGTCGCCGATGGTGCTGAAGAGACGGTCGAAGTGCGCCTTGTACTTATCGTCGTAGAAGCGGCGGCCCGAGTCGCGGATCGCGTTGCCCTCGTTGTTGCACTGCGGCTCAAGGACGAAGCCCGGCTCGAGGAGAACCTTGCGGATGAAGGTGTCGACCTGGGTCCACCAGTCGCGGAACTCCTGGTCATTGCGCGCGTCATCGATGAGGTCGTTAGCGGCGTTGAACATGGGGTCCATGGACTGGTTGTTGGCGAAGCGCTCGAGAAGCGTGCGAAGCTGACCCCAAGACGTCTGGAGTCCACCGTCCTACGTGCAGAGTCAGTATCGGACGACAGGAAAGACGGCGAAGTGCACATACGCTGGTGACCTGGTTGTGGGTATCCTTGCCGTGGTTAGCGACGTGGCGTCCATGGCCGGCGTACTCCTCGACGATGCCAAGGAGCCACCTGATGCTCTCTTGGTAGTCATCGTGACGCTGGCACTCGACGATGACCTTCTTGCCACGGTAAATGAACTGATCGCGACGCTCCTCAGGGAAGTACTCCTCGGAGAGCACGCGCTTGGAGTCTTCAAACTTGCTGTTCGCTTTGTCCTTGTGTTCCTGCGGAACGCGGTCGAGCATGCCATCCTACAACCGATGTAAGTAACAGTACAAAACCACCGAGCAAATAGACTACTTACACGGAAGCCGGTGATGCGGTCCTTCAAACCGCGCTTCTTCTCCTCGGTGTCGAGTGCGCCCTCGTCAGCCTCACTGGAATAGAGTCAGGCGATGAAGAATGGAAACACTGAGGAGCAACTCACGCCTTAGTGCGCTGAGCCTCGTTGACGGTCTGGTTAGCAGTCTCCTGGCCGCGCTGGATAGCAGTCTGCTTGACCTCGCCGGGAGAATACTTGTTGCCATCCTTCTCGATGTGGACGCCGCCATCGGGGTGGTGACGTACGGCGCCGTTGACGCCCGGGATCGAAGCCTCAGCAACAGGCGTCTCGCCGGGGCCGACAGGGCGGCCGCCCTGAGTGACGAACTGGTCGGCAGGCGCCGACTGGTCGACCTGCTGGAGACGATCCTGGTCGGGGCGGATCATGCCGGCGGCATGCTCAGCGGTGCGAGCGAGAACGTCGCGGCCGAGGACGGAGAAGTCCGAGAGAAGCTTGCGCGCTTCGGAGTTGGTGACGATGAGGTTCAAGAGCGTGCGGAGGTGCTTGGTAGCTACAGGTTCGTTAGTATAGAGGCGATTAACCGAAGTAAGTAACTTACCCTGCTCCTTATCCTGATTAACCTTGTTGCCGTCAACGGGAAGTACCTCGTTCGGGTCCTTCTTCGCGTGCGACAAGTCAACCTGGCGAGTGCTCCACATGAAGTTCTGGAAGAGCTCGTCGGCGTTCTTGCGCTGGACCATCACGCGAGCGGTCTCAATGACATCGCGGACGTCCTGAGTTAGGCGGCGGCCCTCGGGCGAGAGCTTGCCCTCGTCGACGGGCGAGTTGCGGATGATGTGTGTCAGTGCACGGTCAATCTGGGTGTTGTCGGGCATGCGACCAAGGCGGAAAGCTTCGATGACGCCGTAGAGGCGCAACTGAGACGCAAGGTTAGTGCATTGTCAAAGAAGAGTGGATAGGAGCAGGCGTACCTTGCGGTCAACATCCGCCTCCTTGTTCGCCTTGTCGACCGGTGCGGCGACAGCGGTCTTGGGCGGGTGCTCAGAGGTGTCCTTGGTGGCTTGGGGGAGAGACATGGTCGTTCGGTCGTAAAGTTGGTCGTGAAAAACGAAGCAGAGAGACGAGGCGAGTGGGTATGGTGGCGATCAGGATTGGGTGCGAAGGGGTTAAGAGCGCGCAGGTGAGCGACTACGTCATAAAGTTTGAACGCTATGTTCGCGTCCCAACGTCATTCTACATCCGCATCCGGGGTCCGTCGTCATTTCCAGCCGCCAGAAAAAGCTTGTATGGCACAAGACTAGGAATTCGCGAACGAGCTACGCGCCACAAAGAGACCGAGAGCTCCGCAAGAGAGAACGTCGAGGAAGAGAGTGGGAAGTGCCCGCGAAGGAGAGGGAGCGCGAAAGTCGAGTCGTCCACAGATGTCAACAGTAAGGAGGACTTCGAGACCGTTAGACAGCTACGAACCACCAAAGCTAAGACAAGTTCGTTGCATCCAAGACTTCTGGGATATCAGGTCCGGTGACGCAACACACTCGGTGCCGCGGAGGTCGCGTTCCGTGGCAGCCTCTACCAACTTCTGGAGCATCTGTCAAAGTCGAAAGCATGTTTGCGCTTTTTTCCACATACGTCGTCCCGCTTCACGTTTATCAAGGGCGAAAGCACCTCCAACAAGCGGCTGCGCACGACGTCGCGACCGTGGGCAAGACGTCATCGTAGCGAGCAAGCATATGAAAACGTGGAATCGTAGCCGCAGTTGGTGGACGGGTGCATATTAACATATTGGATGCATGGGTACTGTAGACCATGCACTGGGTTACGATTACGACACTAAGAGTGCTGCCATAGTCGCGGTCAGAGCAAGGAGGGACAACACGACGAGCGAAGCGCACCTGAACAACCGCTGAACCGTATAATCGATTGCATCCGATAGCTCAGGCTTCGCACTGTAAGTCAAGGGCACTCCAACTATATCGTACACAGTGACGACGTCCTCTACACTGAGATGAAGGTCCGGACGAAGGCACACTGGCTTGTGCGGAGAGAGCAGCGCGTCTGGTCGGGCATCCGGGCCGAATTGTCTTAACCGCCTTGAGGCTCGCAAGGTCATGTTGCGTCTTACCATCATCTCCTACCAAAGCATGATGTAATCCAGTTTTATCACAACCCTGCTTCCGAGCAGTTTGACTATCATACCCCTGCACTCCAACCAGCAGAAGTTCTGAGCCGAAAGGTTCACTAGCAACTTCTCGGACAACATCCTCTAGTTATGTACGGTAGCGGCTGCCTACCGACATAGTCCGCGCATGGACGCAGATCGCAGCATCCACCCGGCACCTCTTCTCCCTACTAATCACTCTGTGAACGTTGAATAGGCAGCTTCAGCCTACGACGGCACACCCGCGGCTTTCCCGCTTACCCGCGCCCTCGCCGGTCAGCATTCGCACAATACCGCGATTATATCAAACTGCATCCATTCACAGCTGTACGGGACGCGATCCGTATGTTATCTGGAACCGCCTCGTCAACGGCGCCCGCGATACTCGCTCACTGTATAAAAATGGATCAACACTGTTTGATCATACCGACCGTATTCAACTGGCACTCATCGAATCCCCTCTCACTCACCATGTCGACTCAAACTCTTCCTGAGGAGCAGAACGCTCTGCTCATCACCGCCAAAGGTGCGCGTATGACGCTCGGCAAGCGTCATGTCCCCAAGCCTGGTGCTGGCCAGGTTATCGTTCACAACATCGCGGCAGCCCTGAACCCTGTAGACTGGTCAGACAGGCCGCTTCTCGTCAATGAAAAGTCTTACTGACGTGTTCCAGGTTTGTACAAAAGACGGGTTTCTTCATCAAGGGCGAGGACCTCCCGGTCGTGATTGGGAACGACGGCGCAGGCGAAGTGTGCGCACTCGGCGAGGGCGTACAAGGCTGGAACATCGGCGACAAAGTGTATGCGCATCACATCGGCTTGCACACTACCGAGCAGAACTGACAATAGGTTCATCTTACAGGTTTTATCAGTGCCACATGGAGAGCGACCGTTCGGCTTTCCAGGAGTACACCCTTGTAGACGCAGCGCGCATGGCGCGTATTCCTTCCAACATCACTCCTGAGCAGGCCGCTACGATCCCGCTTGGGCTGGCTACCGCAGCGCTCGGCATCTACCAGACGAAGAAGAGTGGCACCATATACAGCGGCTTCGACGTTGGCGGTGCAGGCATCACCCCGCCGTGGCTACCGGGCGGGATGGGCAAGTACGCTGGGCATGCTGCAGTCGTCATTAGTGGCGCAAGCTCAGTTGGACAGTTTGGTGCGCTATACACGTTGTTCTAGTGTGCACTTGTACTGACGCAATATGCAGCGACGCAATTGCTCAAGGCATCGGGCTTCAGCCCGATCATTGTCACCGCGTCCGCGCACAACGAGGATTACTGCAAGGCCGCGGGCGCGACTCACGTTATCGACTACAAGTCCACGCCCTACGAGCAGCTTCCTGCAGCTGTCAAGGCCATCGTAGGCGATACCCCCGTCGGCTTCATCTACGACGCCTGCGCTCAAGGTACCCAGAAGCCCGCTTTCTCCCTGCTTGCGCCGGGCGGAGGCATGGTCACGGTCTTTACGCCCGAGGTGGGCGAGCGCGGGAAGGACAACGAGCAGGGTCGCAGGGTGGTCTGGGTATGGGGTGGCGTCAACGAGGAGGCGCACAAAGAGCTGGGCGCGGAGATGTACGCGAACCTGACGGAGCTGTTGGAGAAGGGGATCCTGAAGCCGAACAGGGTGAAGTTGCTTGAGGGCGGCTTGAAGGCTATTCCGGACGGTTGCGACGAGCTTGAGAAGGGTGTTAGCGGGGTGAAGCTTGTCGTTCGCATTCGGGATTGAACTGCTTGCAAGGAGCGACACAGTCCGGGTCGCTGCACATTGTTTTGTAACTGTACTGCAAAGACTGGTATACATCTGTTGATCGTGATTGAAACAATGGTGTCCATACGGAATCATCGCCCGAAACCTATGTATACCCGAGAGAGCGACGGCTATTCAACAAACGTAGCCCTAGTCGAAGGGGTCGCCTAGGGAGCGACAATTGCCTTCAACAGCCCAAAATTAGGTGTACCAAGGCCAGAGACAGCATCCCAGCCTACGGTAGCCTATGTCCTCGTCCTCGTCAGCTTCACGATGAAGAGCAGGATGATATCAAGCGTACGTTGAATCCTGGAGTACCACATCCCGGGTTGTTACCAGAAGTGATGTCGTTGAACGTGGCGCTGACATCGGCAGAGTACAATAGCGGATTGAGGAACCCCAATGTCGAGAGGCCTTTGGCGAGACGAGCGTCGTTGAGCAGGGCGACGATGCCCGCGAAGGTAGGCGTCGCCGCGGAGGTACCTCCAATAGACACGGCCTGGCCTCCAAGGAAGATCTGGAACTTTTCAGCTTGAGCGGCGACGTCAGGGATTCCCTAATAAGATCGTCAGATGCAATCGCCATCGAGCCCAAGGATGAGAGGGCGTACCCTGCCGCTCGAGTTGAAGAGCCCAGCATACGTTCCCGGGGCAAGCGCGCCCAGGTATGCAGGCACAACAGCATCTTGGTACGAAGGGCGAGCAAACTGAAACATTGTAAGATGGAAGTTAGTTACAGTAATCGGAGCCCATCTCTACGCGGACCACGCACATAATTGCTGAATCCACCCCCCGAGAAGTCTACCGCTGTCTCTGGGACATTGATGGTACCGCCCACGGAGGTGATGCTAAGATATTAATGGGTCAGTTCATTGCCGAGAAGATCAGGACTTGGAGAGGCACTCACAACGGGCACGATGCGGGGAACAGCGGCAAGAAAGTTTTCGTGTTAGTGCCATCGTTGGTGAAGCACACTGTTTCGCCATTAGGACTGCTCAGTCCATCGCCTACTCCTCCATCGCCAGAGCCAAACAAGAGCGATACACCGCGTGCACCTGATATCGCGGTTTCAGTATTCGCTGGTGAGTCGTAGTCGATACAGGGGCTGACCAAGCTGTGCGAAGTCGTTGCAGACACGCTGTGCGTACGCAAGAGGCACTGTGTGACATGGGTTGATCAGTTACTTGATCACTATGCGACTGCACACGACACACCAGTTTGCTCGTCGTCGGCATAACTTGTAGAGATCGTTTGGGGTACCACCTCCTGAGCGAGAACGTACTCGAGCCACTGAAGGAAACCAGGTTAGACAGGCGTTTCTCCTAGAGCAGCACAACGCGTACCGTCTCATACGGCTCGTTCCCGTTGGTAGGGTAGCGCTGATCTGGATCGAAGGGCGGGCTACCGCCCGTGCTCCAAAAAGTACTGGGTGTTGGGTATGTTATGCCGAACGCATACTGAACGTCGAGATTGGCCTCAGCCCCGGCATTGGAAGGCGTCTGGTCATTCTCACCACCTGAGCAGATGCGATGAGTGTCAACGAAGTCTGCGGAGAGAACGAGAGACCGACCGTCAATGAGCGTCACGTTGAAGGATGAGCCCTCCGCCTTTGGCACCTGCTTCGCGTAAAACGACTGAAGATCTAGTGCACAGTCAGCGAATAACTTCGCAACGCACAAGATAGTATACGCACCTTGTAGATTAGCGAACTGCTCGAGATAACCCGTAACGCCAATCTTGTTCTTATCCGCGGCCACGACAGTGTAATCCGCGACGTTGTAGAGTTCCTGGAATAGAGTCTCATGTCAATCACTTTACGCCTGAGAGGGCTTCGACCGACCTTGATGCAGTCTACCGTGATAGTCGTATCGCAGCTTGGGTCGACGGTTACGTCGGACCCTGGGATAGCGATCTTGCCCGGCGTGGAAGGGGAGCTCTCGCTCGGTGCCGGTGCCTCAGAGAAGTGGAACGTAGTCTTCAATGCGCGAGGGCGATTGAAGTATGTCGTCGGATGAATAACGTCGATATGAGGGTGAATGTGTCCGGGGAGAGAATAGCTCGTCGTCCGCACGAGCGTGCTGTCACCGCTCGCGTGTTCCCAGATATGGAATTTCTACTCGCACCGCGGTCAGTGTGAGTCGCGTAGGAAGGCTACATCTGCGTACCGTATCGAGCATGGCCTCTGCCTTGGCCACCGATGTCCGTATCGTGATCCAGTCCCGGGCCGCCGAAAGCCGCAGGTCGGACTCTTTCAGTCCGTGCTCCCCGAGCCAGTCCATCACGATGTCGAGACCTTCTGTGCTGGGAGACACGAGCGTCTCGACCTCGCTCTTGGACAGATGCTGACCATAGCGAGAGTGAGACGGGTCGCTGATCTCGTACAAGTGGCGCTCAAGCTCATCGAAGCGCGCTTGTGGAAGCCCGACTTTCAGGTTGACGATGTGATCGGGCGGAGCAGACCCACGCTTGACCCAGTTGCGAGGCTCTGCAACCCGCTCCTTGAGTCGGTATACTTGCGATGAGGCATCTGCTTGCGCGACAAGCCCACTGAGGAGGGGGAGTAGCAGTTGGACCACCCCGAGAGCGACCATCGCGCCTAAGAAGCCACAAGTAAGCCTGCGAAGTATATATAGTCGGGCGGTTCTGATGGGCGCGGATATCATTCGGGTGAAGCATGCGACGACAGCTTCCAATCGCAAAGACCATGCGTATACCTGGATCATCGAATACATACACAGAAGTAGAAGACCAGCAGGTGATTGGCAGGCGGGTCATTATCACTGAGCTCGGGTTTGAGTTTTCATCATGGCGATTTCGAGCGTATAGCGCCGAACAGGTGAGGTCTTCAACGCGCGCTTCGACGCATGATAGACTACTGGTGAAGTGAACATGGCTAGCTATTACATGGCATAGTCAAGGCGATGCCGAGCCCCAATCGTAAGAAGAGGTAGGTGTCTGCTTGTATACGTCAGAGAAGATTATAAGGTAGGTCAAGTTAACGCACCTATGTACTCTTTCATGTAATTATGGAATCCATCTCTCTTTCCATCCCGAACGCATCGCGTACGACGGCGAAGATATTGAAGTCCAGAAGCAGATGCGGTCGAGGAAACGAGAACATGGACTGCTTTCATTCCAAGGTAGATGTACAGTCCGCGTACACAATCAGGAAAGCGGCGAGACAAAGTTGTTATCATGAGGTACGAGACGAGCTGCGTCGGCGCCGGAGAATCATGATGGTGGTGGTGGGAAGACAACCGTCGACGCCTCGACTTTCGTCGCCAAGTCTTCCTCTTGAATTCTTACCACCATGATAATAATGCCCCTTTTGAGCGCAGACTCTACATCGTCCATCTGCTACAATACTTGTACCATTTGAGTCCTCGCTTGTCAATCTCGGACTGTACCAATAATATAGGCTACCAAGGTGTCGAGATTATGGGATGACTGGCATGCCCGCGCGTTCGAACTTTCGCTATTGCAATATATTCTTGACATCTCGTACTGCGAAGGGCGGCCGTCTGGACTACGTGAGGGTGCTGAAGAGCGGATTGGACGCGTTACATGTCTGGATGTGACAAACTGGACGCAACGCTCTGTGTTCTTATCACACCTCATTGTCCAGAATATATATCATGCTTGGCGAGTATGAACTGGTATGCTATGTATCACCGGTGGAAAGTAAGCGCAAGAGGATGGCCCCCCCGCGCCCGGCCAGACGATCAGCATACCACTTGTTCTCGGTGCTCGCGTCCCCCGTGTGTCTGAATATCGCGTAGACATCCAATCGCCAAGGTGTTATGTCTGAAAGAGCGTATAAGGCGAAGAAATATACATGGATAGCATAACGACGTACCATATCCTGCACTGTATAGGCGTACAACAACTTCTCGTATATCTGTGACTTTGAGCGCGGACCATCATTCGCCCCCGCAGGCGTACACCCGCTCCGCCACGCCGCACCTCCACCGGACGCCCTTCGCATCTAGGCATCGCGGGCTTAGCTTATCCGCGACTTCTCGCTTAGACCGTGGGCCGAGACGCATACGGTCAAAGCATGCCCTCGTCCGAGCCGCTTGTACCAAAGCACGAAGTCTATCGCTTCCACGACAACAACGGGCGCGTTCATCCGTCACTCCCATCCACCCTCCTCGGCGCCCTCTCCAACCAATTCGGATGACCCGACAGCCCACTCGGCGGCGGACTGGCTAACTCTACCGAATGCCGGTCCGGGTTCGTAGGCGCGAGTGGACCCAAGCGCGTATCGTACTCGATAGCACTCGCCGCATCGCTGAGCAGCGGCACGTCCGACGCATCTCGCCCGTGGCCTTGCGCCGTCGAGTCGTGCTCGGGCATCAAGCCCGTTTGGCTCGTCTCGCTCATTGGCCGTGGCGCGCTCGCTTGAGACCAAAGACTAGCGTCGCCTGACCCTCCGCGCAGACGCGCATCGTGCGCGCCCGGGCGTTGGCCGATGCCGAGTGTCGACTGAGAGGGTACGGGCGAAGAAGCAGAGGGACCCGCGCCCTCGACCGCGCCAGCTAAGTTCGGCGTACTGCTAAAGGGATCTTCCAGCGCGGATTGAGGTGGTGGCCATACATCCTCCCTGAAGATGCTGCCGTTCCCTGAATGCTGTGTCCGAGGTACCCGCGCTGGTAGCTCGTATGCCTGGCCGACGGCTGCGCCACTCGGCGGCGCGAAAGGATCATCGCGATATCCGCCCGGCGGTGGCGCGGCGAGTTCGTCGGCGAGAAAGGCAGCTCGGGATGGAGGTTCGCGCTTGAGGAAGGTATACCGTTGCTTGTCTACGCGGCGCCGATAGTAGAAGAATCCGGCGAAAAGGATGACGAGTAGCGCGGTGCCGCCTACGGCCGCACCCGCAACAATGGACGTGCGCTCGTGACTATCAAGTCCATCACCGGACGAGTCGGGGTTCAGCGCGGTGACTATCGCGACTGCAGCCTGTTGGTGGCGCAGGATTAGTTGATCGTGTACACAGCTTAGATGGTGATGACGGGAAGAGCTATGAATAACAAGCTTACCGTGGTAGGGGTGCCGTTTATCTCGGTCACAATGGACGAAGTAAACGTGGTGAAGCTGGCACCAGCCGATGATGTAGTATTCATCGAAAGTGTAGTAAATGGCATAGCAGAGGTAACATTGGAGAGTGAAGTCAATGAAGAAGTTCCGATCGACGAGGAGACTGGCGTTGAAGTAGTGGAGATAGAGCTGTCCGTTGATGTAGTCCTAGAGTCCGTGGATGAGGTAGTCGTTGAAGACGTCTCGGTAGACGAAGTCGCTCTACTGGTTCGCGTACTGGACTCCGGTGTGGACGTCGGGGTGGATGTGGGAGTAGAAGATAGTGTAAAAGACGGTGTGGATGATGGAGTACGCGTACTGCTTGAGCTCTCGGTCGACTCAGTACTATAGAACGACTACTGTCAATATCTCGCAAGTATTCGGATACTCCGACTGTGCATACCTTGAGGTGGGCGTACTACTCGGCGTTTCCGAGGTAGAGGTTGAAGTCGGGTCTGCATTATCCGTATCCGAGGGCGTTGGGAGCGCGATTGAGCCAGGTAGCCCTCCTGGATTAGACTGGCGCGGTAAGATAACCCGCCCGCCAGCAGTAGGCGATGCAGGCATGGTGGCCGCCCGAGACAGGAGCGCTCGGGTGAGGATCCGCGCTTACGCTCGCACGCAGAGGCGAGGCGCGACTCTATTCATGACCGCCATCACCAGCGCAGCAACGGCCTTTACTTTGCATGGAATGCCAACCTTCTGGCTATCGTCTATATCTCTTGCCACTTTAGCTCGTATGGAATGTGTCTCTGCTCGCCCCCAAAATGCTCAGCGTCTCATAGGCTTAACTGTTAATTCACACGTACTCGACTTCTGCTGAACTCTACGTGACGAGGCTGAGACTCCCATTGCTTTGCCTGCTCTCTACAACAAGAAGACGTGTAAATCTTGCACACTATCGGGCGGGCACTAGTTACGGACCGTAATCTTCGACGTCTCGGCGTTGTACAAGACGGCGAAATTTTTAGACGCTCTCGTTGGCGCCAGCGTGTGAGTCTCTTCACCTTCTGTACACTGAAATGCCTCCGTGCTCACGAAAATAATAGCTGTCCGCGAGACAAAACGACCGCGGGCGAAGGCCTCTGTCGCGTTCGTTATTCACCAACGGGCTAGCCGTGCTCGTGCACGACGTCGGCGTTTGCCTACCCAGCTCGCCTGGCGAGTCGCCCAATACCCTATGACTACCGAACCGCAATTTACATTGCATGCAGCCGAGCAACGCTTGTCCGTAGTACTACCGGTCCACGGCCGCAGCAACTGTCAGCGCGCTCCGTACTGGCGTCGGCGGAGTCACGCGACTCCATACACAAACCGCACCTGCCGTCTACGGGCTTGCTATCCGGATTATCTGCGGCGTGTCCTCTCGTGCGACGAGGCGAAGACTGGAGGACGACGTATCATAAGGTCGCGGATACCCCTCGAGCCCGGATAAGGCGCGTTCGTGCATACGTGAACGAGGCACGTCCGGGTTACCTGCGTATTCTGAAAATGTCGCTCACCGAATGCGTTACGTTCAGGTTCAACAAGGCGCGACGCTCCAGCGAGTGGCGTCCAGTACTCTTCGAAGGTTACGCGGCGGCCTCTCGTACACCTATGCTATGGCCAGGCTCAGACTCCGCGACGACAAGCTCGTCGGCCTTGACGCGGTCCAGCCCGCCCCCCGAGCTTTAGACGTTCGCGCTACCGCTCGCCACAACTCAACCCACGGTCCTCGTGCCGACCGCCAGTCTGCGTCCTTCGCGGGCATCCTTGTCAGCGGACTTGCTATCTCGGCGAGCTGCGCCGTGTTTCGCACGAGCTCAACAGCAGCGACCAAGACTGCGCCGGCCTGGACCTACTCCTCATGCCGTGGGCACTCGGGTGCGACGAGGACGCCGTCGCGATCTGCGCACGAGGTCATATCGCGGGTCGTGCTTGCTGCCGCACCTGTCGCACGAACTCGGAGCGTGCGGTCAAGAGAAGACCGCCCACATCACCTCCGTGTGCTCCACCGCAGTCAACATCGTCGCCAACGGGCGCATCCCTCGGGCCAACACCGTGCATATCGAGCGAACGGATATAAGACTCTCCGCGCCTACTGGGCAGACTTTGTAACGATGTCACGGCGACGAACATGGTGCAGTGGTCGGCGCTGATATACGCAATAACTCGTACGGGGTCGAGGGACTAGTAAGACACGCAGCGACCCGCGCTACGCGGGACGAACAGGGACAATGGCCCATCGCGCACCCCCTGGTACAACACGGTGTCAGCCGCTGACAGATTTGCGGCCGCGGCCTCGACCACGCCGGATATATCGATCGCGACGCCGCGAATGAGGATCCACTAACACGAAGACGGTGGCGGATGTCGAGGCCCGTCAGGAGCGGCTTGCACAGGTTCAACAGCATAACAGCAGGAACGTGCAGGTGAAACGGTATCGCACCGACATCGGTCCTCGCCGGCGATGTCGTCGCTACGCAGCGATCTGACAGACTGACTGTATATACGTTAAAATACATGGATAATGAAAGAATATATTTGCCACGTGGAAAGGTCGTTCCCAGGCTGCTGCGCTCGAGCTTAAGTGCAATTCCAGTTGACTGAGACTCGACAGAAAGGAAAGGTGTTGAGTGAAGTGCCGACGAGCGAAAGGGACGTACCAGGTAGGGATATGAGTTCAGCCAGCTGTGTGAAGGGTAAGTTATGTGTCACAGCTATGAATGCGCTAGCTAGGACTGGTAAGAAAGTGTTCAGACGCGAGACGAAGGGTAAAGCGAAGTGTTTTGACTGGGACGTGCGCTACAAGGGGGTGTGTCGGGAGAACCGGTCGTGTAGAGTGAGTGTGTGAAGTGCCAGGTAAAGTACTTGATGTGCAGATCACGAGTCGAGTCAAAATGGAGTTGAGTTTCAAAGCGACGGTAAGCAGTTGGTGTAGCAATCAACGCGCTAGGAGGGCAGTTCCTGCACAATACGGTTGCTTCTGGAGATGAACTTGTACTCAGGCTTGTGACGAAAGGTACACGGACCGTTAGCAAAGTGTAGGAGCGCTCGCGGGCAGCGTTTTGAGATGAAGTAGCCGGACAGGGATCAGTCGGAGGCCGCGAATCGATCGTCGATACTGAACACAGTCGACGGGCGCACGGTAGAGTCGCAGCCAGGTAACGCCAGGAGGTGAGGTCCGCAAAGCAAGTAGCTAGCCGGTCTTGGTTTGCAGGAGAAACGCTCGGTGTCTGCCCGAGCTTAAGTGCAATTCCAGTTGACTGAGACTCGACAGAAAGGAAAGGTGTTGAGTGAAGTGCCGAAGT